TTGAGGTTACTGTTGTGATTGTTCTGGAAATCACTGCTGATGAAGTGAAAATAGGGCAAGAACTTGGATGCAAAGCCTGAAGGATGAGGAGCAGATCTTTGTGGGTGCACAGAAAGTGGAGGTGGAATCTGCTGCTGGTGAAGATTCTGTGAAAATTGCTGAAATGACAATAAAGGATTTAGAAGATGTAAACTCAGCTGATTTAGCAGGTGGCAGGGTTGGAGAGGCTGGATTCTTCTTTTGAAAGAAGTTTTATCGTGTTATCAAACAACATCATGTAATACAGAGAAATCTTTCCTGAAAGGAAGTCAAGAGTGGCCAATTTCATTTTTGTCTTATTTTAAGAAGTTGCTAAGCACCCCTATGCTCACCACCACCGCTCCTATCAGTCAGCAGTCCTCACCATGAAGGCGAGACCATCCACCAGCAAATAGTAGGTCGCTAGGCCCTCAAATAATGTGGTTTACTGAATGTGGCTTTGTCCAAACATTGATACAGAAAAAAAAAAATCCCAGCTAATGTGGACATGGTTTCTTTATACATTGTTTCACTTAAAATTGCAGTTTCTAAGAATCTACTGGCCACTGGAAGGGAGAATTTACCATACAGTCCACTGACGTTTCAGGTGAGCTGTTTCATATATAAAGAATTATATATATATATATATATATATATATTATAACAGTTTATGTTTACATCACTTTTGTGCCTTTTTCCATCTCAGTTGTAATCCCTGTGGATTTCCCATCACCACATCACCCATGTGCATTCACCATAGTCCCGTGAACTTCTCCATTTTTGATCCCATTCCCCACTCCACCCCCATAAAATGTCTCTGGGATATAGTTGTTCATTATTATTTCTTTTTTCCCCCTGGTCCTTTATGCTCCTGCTATGAGTGAAACCACCCAGTACTTTTCCTTTTCCTTCTGGCTTATTTCACTAAGCATGATCCCCTTCCCTCTAGCATAAAGTATTTTAAGTTGAGGTATGTGTGTTGTTTCCTCTTCAGATGTAACGGCATTGCTTTATTGTGAAGTTCAGGTATCGTGGTGGCCTGGAACCCAACCTGCAGGGTCTCCAAGATGGGCTCCAGCAAGTACTGCCCACACACTGTGGTCCCACCCAGAGGTTGCTTCTGTGACCCATCAGAACAGCCACCTGGGGCGCTTAATCAACGGATTGTGTCACATGGGCCTCCCTGCAGGGAGGAAGGATTTTGTGATCATCCCCTGATGTGCTTGCCCATGCCCAAGCTTCCCCTCTGCGTGAGGACATATGTCATGTGGCGTTAGGAGCCCATGCTATGGTATGACCTCATCTTAACTAATTTCAACATCCATGACCTTGTTTCCAAATAAGGTCGCGTTTTGAGATACTGGAGGGAGGATTCAACCCCTGACAGTTACTCAGTGAAAAATAAATCTCCTTCCCTCTTGGGTCCTCCCAAGCCTCTCAAGGCGATCAGCACCCCTGGGTTACTGGGTGTTTTTCAGGGTTCCCTCTGCATTCACCAATATAAGTGCCCACGTTCTTCCTGGCACGAGCCTGGTCCACCCTGGGCCCCTCCCTCCCTGCTCTCCTCACAACATTCCTGCAGAATTTCCCATATCAGCCCTTACAGACACTCCTTGTTCCTTTAAGTGGTTGTACACTGGTCTATTATTTATTTACCTGGCCCCTATTAATAGACAGATAGTCCCTAGTCTTCTGCTATTACAAACAATGCCACAATGTATATTCTTGGGCACACATCATTTTGCAGGAAGCTTAAATTCATCTATTAATACCTGGAAGTGGAAGCGCTCAGAGCCACGTATCTTGCCAAGGAGGTCGGGGAAGGTCAGCCTGGCCCCAGCTGCCTCACAGCCAGTGTTTCCCCACAGCCTCGTCAAACCGAGTTAGCTAACTTTCTGGTTTTTGCCAATCTTATATTTCCCCATGTACTTTTAATTTAATTTGCATTTCCATCATGAGCATAATTGAGCATCTTTGCATGTGTTTAAGAGACATTTGGAATCCCTCCTCTTGGAACATTCTGTACTTCTTTCCCCATTTTCTTCTGCAACTGAGGAAGAATGAAAAGGACTTTTGCAGATGCAGAAGGAATTTTTAAAAGGGTACCAGGTAATTGCAGGGCACGTGAACATGGGAACTGGTGTTGAAAAGTGGCGTGGGATCTTCCACTTCTCTAGTTGCTGGAGATTTCTTGCCCAGTCCCCTCTGTTCCTCCAGCCTAAGCAGCCGCCAGGCTCTGGAACCAGGAAGAAGCCTGGAAATTTGATTCTGGGTTCAGCACTAAAATTTGAGCTTGCACTATGCAACATCAGTTGCAGTAGGCCTCTCCTCTGAGGCCGGATCCAGCTCCCTAGTGCAGGGTGCTGTTAAGTGAAGTTGGGGGCGGGGATATACGAATTGGAGCTCTTTGTGAGATCTGGTATTAGACTTGCGAGAAGGATGAAGCCTGAAACAGACACATAAGCCATAAATGCTAAGAGACCAGGGTCAGACGTGTCTCCCTAGGACACACCATGCTTTCGTGTTGGCCTTTTGTTTTTTTTATCACTGGCCAGGGCTGTGATTCAAATGAAGAAACGTTTCTGTCTAAATCTGCCTCTGTCTTGGAAGGTGACTTCCAAGAGGATGGCTACAGAGTTTTCAGAACAGAGAGAGAACCAGGGTGATGCTTTCGGGGCTCTTCTGCGATGTGATTTACTCTGAGGATAGGCAGATAGGACTTCACAGACTGCTGTTTCTAGAAGGTCCATGGAGTTGGATCTGTGAAATCTTGCTGACCCATTCTTCTAAGTTTCTGAACACCTCCTGGTGTTAACCCACAAGCTAGACTCTATAGAAGGATTCTGACATGTAGGTAAGAGATGACTGGTGTCTTCCCACGTGATAGACTCTGGTTAAGGAGGAAGAACACAATTCACCACTGCGATGGTTAATTATGTTTTCACTAGGTTGGGTCACAGTGCTCAGATAGTTCGTCAAACGTTCTCCCGGCTGTTCCTGTAAAGATGGTTTGAGGATGATGTTAAAGGCTAAATCTGTGGACTCTGAGCACAGCAGAGAATCCACCATCATGTGGGTGGGCCATATCCATCTTGGACCTTCCACATTGGTGGTCTTTTTTTTTTTAATTTCTTTATTTATACATAGAAGAGTTGGGGTGTAGACCAGAGGTGCAAGGTGTGATAGGATTCATCAGAGACAGAGTGGGGAGCAGAACAGGCAGAATGACGAAGTACACTGCTGAGGGGACCAGAGGGCGAGACAGGAGAGGCCTATTGCACCATGTGGGTCAACTCTGGGGTGGGGATCGAACTGATGTTGCAGTGATTGTGGATTGCAATGCTTTAACCTGTTGCATCACCATGGAGGGCCCAGTTGAAGGTCTTAATAGAACAAAAACTCTTATCCCTTGGTGAAAGAAAAAATTCTGCCAGTAGACTGCTCTGGACTCAGACTACAACTCTTCCCTAAGTTCCCATCCAGCTGGCTTGCAGATTTGAGATTTGTACATGTCAATTCCTAAAAACCTCTCTAAATATTTATATGTATGTATGCAGGTATACATATGTATATAGGTATCGAGAGATTTTAAGGGATTGACCACATAAATCTCAAATCTCTACACATATATATATGTGTGTGTGTGTATATATATATATATATATATATATATATATATATATACACACACACACACAGAAAAAATAGAGAGAACATGTATGTGTGTATACAGGTATCGAGAGATTTTAAGGGATTGACCACATAAATCTCAAATCTCTACACACACACACACACACATATATATATATACACATATATATATATATACACACACAGAAAAAATAGAACGTGTGTGTGTATACAGAAAGAATATTGTGTATTATAGATTTAGTATATGGAGAGAGAGAAAGAGCATTCTATCCACAAGCAGACACTGTTGGTTCTGTCTCTACAGTGCACACCCTGGCTAGTCCAACCGCAGGTTGTGTGACCCTCACAGCAGCATCTGACTTAGCAAAGGACAAGCAGGATGCTGAGGGGAGAGGGACGTGAGGGCCCAGAAATCAGGAAGGCTCGGAGCAGGGACTGGAGTCCTGTGAGGGGGATTCTGAAGCAAGGTCAAGTTTGAGTGGGCAGAAGGAGGCGTGCCTTTAGGCAGGAAACAGGGAGAGCAAAGGTAGAGAGCTTGGCCCAAGCAGCACATGATTGTAGGGACTCAGAGACATGCCACAGCTGCTGTCACAGTTGCAAAAGGACATTGGTTAGCGGGAAGTATGTGCTTGACACCTTTCCCCTCTTCAGGCTACAAAGCTGGTGTTTGGAGGTCGGGGGACATATGCATTCGTCAGATCGGCTGACATTAAGGTGTCGAATAATTATGGAATGAACGAATTCACTTTGCACTTCTATTGAATTATAATCTAGGGCAGAATTAATTTCCTACCTTGTTGCAAAAGGGGTCAAGAAATTGGCAATGATGGTTATGAGAATTACTTTTTTCCCAGTGGGGCAATAATTGCTTTACTTTCCATTTCAAAACATGCTCATTAGCAAGGACATGGAAGCCACCTACATCACCTCAACAGGCACAATGGATCCCAACGATGTGGTGCGCGGACCGTGGAGTGTCACCCGCCACGGGGAAGGAGAAATGCAGCCATTTTCAACAAAACGGAGAGCTGGAAAAACTGCAGCAAAGCAAGTCAGAGCTTTAGCTTAGTGTATTAGACTTTTCTAAAGAGACATTCGACCAAAAACTACTGGATGTCAACAAGCACCCTGAGGACCCTGGGTTACCAGGAAGAGCGAGGACCTGGGGACACAGGGGTGGGGACGGGGACCTCCAAACCTTCCAAATCCTCTCAGACTGACATTCCCACCTCATTTCCACGGCATTCACTGGCTTGTCATCTCACTTGCTTCTTCTCCTAAATGCTTGTATTGCCATTGATGCCATAGCCGTAGGTGAAATTCAATTCAAAATATGTAACAACTGAAGCCACCCACTCACCAACCCTTCATCTGCCAAGGGAATCTTCAAAGGAACTGAGCAGTAAGTGGTTGTCATATAAAGTGTTCAGCTGCAGGCACAGGTCAGAAAGCACAATCAAGTGTTTTCCCTCACACCGAGCATACCTTTCATAAACAAGATGAAGGGGAAAGGGAATATTCTTATAAATCCAATTATAGCTGCAGCCTGTTGGAGATGAAGCTCCATAAAAATCAGTCCAATTCAGAGAGGATAAGTTTGCTGAGGATGCAAACAGATGGGGTTTCCTCTAGAACTTTCCAATCTGTGAATGTCACATTGAAGAGTTTGCCTGGAGGAAAACAACCTAAAGGTGGGATTTCCAAGCCCATCATCAGAGGAGGACACATGACCCGAACACTCTCGGCACTATCTTGTCTACCTCGCCTCTTCTGGCTCTGGGAGACATCGTCACATGTGGGTGACTTCTACGCAGAAGCCAATAAAATCAGGTATGTGTGATTTATCATGCCAGCATCATGTGCACAAGAAACAGGGCGGGGGTACTATTTGCTTTAAAAATCATTATTTAGGAGGCCTTGCAGAGCTCCTGACGATGGGGCCCTACAGATATTCACCCTCTGTCATTCCTGGTGGGGAAGTTGAGTCAAACATAGATTTTTACTACAGATTGCCTCAAAACTCCAAGTAAAATAGAGTTCTGCTTGAAGGGTTGAAAAAGAAAGCCTACTTGGGGACAACCGAGACAAGGCAGAACAATATAAAATAGAACAGCTTTGCCAGAGACGGGAATGAATGAGGTGACATCACCATTAGCTGTACGATGGGATGCTTATTGCCACGTGACCAGATCTTTCCTTTTTCACATTCGTGGAGCGACTATTCCTGTGTGTTAGGGACGGCGATGCCATGGTAAGTTAGACACGGAGGTCTCCTGCCTCCTGGGAAGGTCTAGCTCTTGTGAGGGAGTCTTTAAGGGACAACTTTCCCAGCTGTGCTGGCTGCTGGATACATGTTCTTTGTTGTGTTTTCCTTTCGTCTTCTAAGGCAGTTGAACAACCCTCTCGGTGTATTTCTCCATTTTATACAAGCAGTTTTTTAAATTTGAAGGGCACTTTCCATTTCTTTCCTTGGACCCTCTGGAAATTCAGCCTCCTCCATTTAGCGATTTTATTTTGGGTTGTTGTTTGTATTTAAAGATCACATTCTTTTCCTGGGTAGCAGCTCTGCACCCTGACTGGCTAACCTGGTTTCATTTTTATCACTTTTCACCAACAGAAAGGAGCACTATTCTTAATCAATTGAGAGGAATTATTAGCGCCTGGTAAATTTGAATTTTATTTTAAAAACTAGTAATTTTTTTAAGTGCACAAATAGTATATAGAGTATGTCCTTGCTTGCAAACGTTGTTTTAATTTTTTAAAATTATTTATCTATGCGTACAAGAACTGGGGTACAGGCTAGGGGTGCAGGGGTGGGGTGGGGGTGTGAGGGGATTCACTAAAGACAGAATGGGGAGCAGAACAGGAAGATGTACTGAGACACACTGAGGGGAATAATGGAGAGTCACCATGTGGGTGACTCCCTGGTCTGGGATAGAACTCATGCTGTGTCGCTGTGGCCAGCTTCATAGCGCTACATTTTAACCTGTTGAGCCACCAGGGAGGGCCCTGTGGCCAGAATTTTTTTTAAATATTATCTTCTTTTTAATTATAAAAGCAAGGGATATATACTCTAGAAAAGTTGGAAAATACAGAAAGCACAGGAGAACATAAAAATTTCACAAGTGGGTGGGAGCTTTGAGGAGATGACCTTAAAGTGGAGGTGGGGAAGAGCTTGCCAATGGTCAGCTCCTGGCCACCGCAGAATTCACAGAGCAGGGAACGGGAGGACCAGCCACCGGAAGACCTCCCCGCGCTGGCCGGACTGGACAGCTCTGCCTGCTCATCTGGGCCAACCTCTGCTCCCACGCGGGCGAGGGCGAAGTGAAGAGGGCTGAAGAGGGCTGTACTCCCGCAGAGAAAGGCTGGGTCCTGGAGGGAATACCACATCTGCCTGCTCACTTGTTCATTCATCCACAGTCCTTTAACTTTTTCTTGAGTGACTACTGTGGACTGCAGGATGTTTGTGAACAACCCAAACTCTAGAATCCTATGGGGAAGCTGAAGTTAGGCAAATAAGAACTGAATCCCACTTGTAACACCAAGAAGAATAAATAGCCCAGGTCCAGAAGCCAGGGAGGGTATCTTTGAGGGAAGTCAGCTGAATTTTGGGTGAATTGAGTCAGCTGGGCAGAGCGTGTGGGGAGGAAGCAGCCCAGCATATGTGACTGTTAGGTCAAGGAGGCTGAAGGTGAGGAGGTGAGCGGGGAAGGCCCTGGTCACGCAGGGCCCTGGGGCCCCTAAGCGGGTGGGAGCTTATCCCAAGAGCAAAGGGAATCAGTGGCAGAATTTTAAACAGAGGAGTGACATAATCAGAGTTGTGTTTTCAGGAAATCATCTGACTGCCCTGTGGAGAATGCCCCACAGAAAGGCAAGCGTGGTAGGGCCCCGGTGGCTCAGTGGGTTAAAGCACAGAACTACAAAACTAGCCACAGCCGCTTCAGTGTGAGTTCGATCCCCAGCCCTGCAGGTGATCCACATGGCACAGCAGACCTCTCCTGTCTCACCCACCACTCCCCTCAGCAGTGTACTTCATCAGTCGGCCTGTTCTGCTCCCCACTCTGTCTCTAGTGAATCCTCTCACCGCCCCTGCACCTCTGGCCCGTACCCCAGTTTTGTATGCATAAATAAATACAGCTTTTAAAAGAAGAGAAAGTTGCCCAATGGCACACAGCTAGTGCATGGAGAGCAGGGTTTGAGCCCGAGCACTCCAGCTCTGGGACCTGCATGCTAAGTCACCATCTATACTGGAGAGAAGTAGATAGATTCAGAACTTGGCCCCTGAGTGGTTTCTTCCGTGATCCCAACTAAATGATGCGACTGTAATGACTGGGACAGCAAGCTCGAGATAAAAATGTGTCATAAGTAAAGTTTGTGGGAGAAGCAGTGCAGATAAATTAGTTTATAATAAAGTAATAACATTAGGACCAAACACTTACATGGAGCTTTCTGTATGCTCGGGGATCTTCTAAAACCTGTATGTGTACTAATTCACTTAATCTGCACAAGAACCTTCAGAAGGTGACGGTGCTATCATCCGGCCTTGGTCCGTGGAAATGTCTGTGTCCCCCATTATTCATACGCTGAAATCCTAGCACCAAAGGTGGTGGTATTAGTAGGTGGGGCCCTTGGGAGGAGCTTAATCCTGGGGGTGGCCTTATGCGAGACTCCAGAGACACCTCATCCTCAGTGAGTAGGGGCCAGCTGCCACCAGGAAGATGCTTCCACCAGGTCTGACCATGCTGGCACCTTGATCTTGAACTTCTAACCTCCAAAACTGGGAGAAGTACATTTCTGTTGGCATTTCTGTAATATCACTCTGTGACTTTTTTTTTTAAAGATTTATTTATACATATCAGAACTGGGGTACAGGTCACAGGTGCAGGGGCTGAGAGGATTCACCAAAGACAGAGTGGAGAGCAGAACAGGCAGATCAACAAAGTACACTGCTGAGGGGAGCAGCGGGCAAGACAGGAGAGGTCTGCCACACCATGTAGGTCACTTCCAAGGCGGAGATTGAGTTTATGCTTCAGTAGCTGCAGATAGCTTCTTTGTGTTGTGCTTGAACCCATTGTGCCCCCAGGAAGGGCCCTCTGTGATATTGTTACAGCAGCCAGAAGAGACTAACCAGTCCCCGTTTCACAGATGAAAACCAGAAGAACAGAGAGGTCAAGTGACTTACCCAGGGTCACACAGCAAAAGACATCAGATCCAGGCTATTAGCCCAGGCAGGAGGACTGCAGAAGGCAGGCTCTTAGCCATAGGTGAGCAGCTTCCAGAAGCTACTGCAACACAATGGCTCCAAAGCAACCTGGTTTGCCAAGTGGAAGCCCAGGAGCTTCTGTCTCCCACGTGGTCTGTGACATGACCTGCAAGACAGAGACTTTTCTTGGGCTTCCGATGAAATCTTTTCACTCTAGAGATGGGCTTCTGGTGCTTAGTAAAGCTTGCTTCATTTGGAGTTATATCTATGGTGATAACTGTTAAAGGGACCCCAAGGAGGAATATCATTAGCTGCTTGCAAGCGGGGCTTTGTGTGTGCTGGAGAATAGAGCCTTCGTCACACCACCCCAGCCCTCAAGAGGTAGAACCTGAAGAGCAGAGAGGCTTCCTTCCTGGGCTTGCTGTCAGGTAGGGCCTGGAGCCGACCACAGTCCCCCTTCCTGTTTCAGATCCTTCAAGAACTCACCACTCTCAGAGTCCAAGCTCTCTGCTGAGTCTGCCAGCTTTTCTCCCATCTCCCATGCCTCCCATTCCGCAGCATCTCACCAAATAGGCTTCCTGCAGAAAATGCCACTCTCCCTTCCTCTGGCTTCGCTCACCTCAGACCGGCAGTGTTCCTCAGGAGTCTTCTCCATATCGCCCAGAGCAAAGGGTCATCCCCACCTCGTGTTCCCCCAGAACCATCTGACCGCATTACACAAGTTATACTTGCTTGCTTACAGATGCCTTCTTCTCAGAACAGACAGGCCAGTGTCAACTAAGTCCTCATCACCTGTCTCCTGCCTCCACCTGTGGCCCCCCCTCCTATCACGGTGCCCACCACTGTCTCATCTTAGGGACACAGTCCTGACTGCAGTCTTGGGTGAAAGTGTCTATGTTTTGGACCATGCAGACCTTGCATCCCCAAAAGTTCTGAGCGAGGAGTGGGTCCCCAGAAACCAACCCAGAGGCTTGGAGAAAACCCAGAGTGAATTGGAAGAAGATGTGCCCAGCGCTGTCTCGGCACTGGAACACTATCTTGTTTCTGGGACGCCTGTCTGGGTGTGGCCTTTTTCCTTGATTTCTGAGCCCTGTGGAGTCTCCAGAGGCCTCCATGATCACAGGCTCCTGGCTCTTACCCTGGTCGAGTCCCCCCACACACACACACCCCTGAAATCAGGCTGACTCACGTGACCAGAAGGATTTCAGAAGGAGGGAGCTTTGCTCCCAAGATGGGACATAAAGACATGACAGATTCTGCCTTGTATTTTTTTGACTCCTTCCCCCAAGGGGAACCAGTCACCGATGGGAAGACTCCAGGTAGCCTCGCGGAGACACCCATGGAAGAGGAGCTTGTACCCTTCCCACCCCAACCAGCACAACTTGGGGACACCTGGGAAATGGATGCTCCTGTCAAAATGGATGTTGTCAAACCTTTGGCCAACTGCAGACCTGAGCAAAAACCACCCAGCAGGCCATTTCCCACCCATAGCAACTGTGTGAGATAAGAAACATTTGCTGTTGTTTCAAGCCACTGAATTTTGGGATATGTATTATGCAACATTAGGTAACTGATATACTTATTGTGTTTTTATTATAAAAATTCCTTGTGTTGGCATTTGTGAATACTTGCTATTTATTCACTGTTGCCTCCCATGGTTGATTGGGGGGGGGTCCCACTCATAAGAAGGGACAGCTTATGCCTGGGGGTTAGCATCTTACTAACATACACCAAAAGTTTGATCAATTAGAATTTCTGAGGCATTTTTCACATATATTTCAATTTGGTCCTCCGACAATTGACATAAATACATAATTGTACATCTCCATTATACTTACAGCTCCAGATTAACTTTACATTGAGAATGTCTGCATTAAGACAAGGATAAAGCCCATTTTGCAGGCCCTTCACTTAGGGTCTGTAGATTTGCTTACTCAACAAATATTTACTGACTTCCCATATGGACAAGGAGTTAGAAGCCATATAGAAAAGAGGCAAAAATTAATCTTACCTCCTGGGAATGTATAATCTAGTAGGGGCCTTAGGACATTAGAACAGGATCAAACTAAAGTATGATGCAGAGTCTTCTAAGTCCCTTCCACTGAGAACTGAGCACTGGCCTGCTGAGTAATATGCAGGAACACATAGTGTGGAGATTTATTTAGTGGATCTCACAGAATCCACTAAATGAAAAAAACAGAGTAGCAGAGTGGTCAGTTTGAAGATTCTAGAATCAGTCTCCTGCCTTTGGACCCTGAGAGAAGGGATCGTGGTAAGTGACTAACCCTCGCTGTGACTCGGTTTCCTCACATGTAAAGGGCAGATGACAATAGGTACCTGGTCACAGAACCTGATATGGTGTCACACACCATGAGACATATGTCATGTAAAACACTTGGGACAGAGCCTGCCACCTAGTAAGCACTGACATGTGGAGCCTTGTACTGTCACCACGAAGATGCCATTTTACAGTTGCAAATGGAGATGGCACCCTTGCTTTTAACTGCCTTACTCTACTAAGTCCCTGAAAGGGGGTAACGGGTGGCAGACCAAGTCCAGGGCCAGGGTAGCTCCTGTGAAGATAAGGGCAAGTTTGTTCACGTCCAAGGGTGGTGATGAGAGCAGAGCCTCTTCTGAAAAGTGTCCTAAACCAAGGTCAACTGGCTTCTGGCCACAGGTGGCTTTTATTACATCCCCTCACAGACGACTGGCTGTTTCTGGCAGAGAAACCCCACTCCAGTGGGGGGAAGACAAAGAGCTGTTTTTGCACAGTTCCCCAGACAGTTTATAGAACAGTCTAGAAACACCAGGGATAGTAGGATTGCTAATCACCTGTCTGCTGATGTAAACGCTATTTAGATACAACAATGTCTTTAAAATAACCTGAAATACAATTACTGCCCTGAGGATGGGGCTGGTTGAATGACTGGAGAAATGTCATTCAGATTGTTCATTAACTAATTACAGCACACAGCGAACAGCTCTGTGAGGCAGGCCTGCGGCTGAGTCACCCAGCTCGGAGCCAGGCGGCGTTGGGTGAGCTCTTCTGGCGCCAGTATGGGGGGGGGGGTCGGAGGCATGTTGGAGCAACAAAGAAAAACTCTTCCCTGCCTTGAGGACTCCCAAGCACCTGTGGGAAGATGCTGAGAGCGACCCAGGGAGACTTCATGCCGGGTCACTGGGCTTCAGGCAGGAACGGAAGCAGAATCGGGGAGCTGGGACCCGACAGGCAGGCGTGTGGCCCGTCACCATTCCATGAATGAGTCTGGTGACGGCTGCCTGTGCGTGTGTGGAAGAATGTTTACTAGGAGCAGAAGGGCGCCTGCTGTCCTGTGGCCTGGGAGCACCTGCCAGCCTTGGCACGGGGCAAAGGGGGTGAGTCTCACTGCCCAGGATGGGGTGGACACCCCGAGGCAGGGCCAGTGGCATTGCTGAGGTCTGCATCTTGGTTTCCTCCACATAAATCAGATCAGTTGGTGTTCACCATGAGGGGCTCCTGGAGCAAATGACACGAAGATGTCAGGTGTGGCCTAATCAAGGACCCAGGGCCCCATACCAGCACGCTGCTCTTCTTGTCATCAACCACAGGCCTGAGGGGAGCGGAGGCAGGGCCAGACCGCTCCTTCCCTCACTCGTTCCTCCTGTCAGCCTTCAGGGTCCCTGTCTTTGGCCAGCCTTGTGATAGAAAACTACTCAAAATCCTTTCTCTGAGCTTTTAAACTCTAAGACTGTGATGACACGTTGTTTCCTGACCAGCAAAGACACCTTACAGGTAGGGGCTAGAACCGGCTGCCTCCCCACACACACACACACACACACACACTCTGTTTAGAGAGAGAGATTGTTTATTGAGATAACTGGTTTACAACACTTTGTGTGGCTAGGGGAAAGGGCTTGTGCCTCTTCAGATGTAAGTCACTATATCACCATCAAAGCACTTTACCCCAGGCCCTTGGGCCCATTCCCCATTTTGTTCTAACCCCCTTATTCTCCCTTCCTTCTCTAGTAATCTCAGTTCTGCAGTCATATTTCTATGGTATGATTTGTCAGTTTATTTCTTTTCTTTTAAGATTTATTTATTTATGCATACAGAAGTTGGGGTACAGGCCAGAGGTACAAGGGGGTGAGAGGATTCCCCAGAGACAAAGTGGGGAGCAGAACAGGTGGATCTCCTGAAATATACTGCTGAGGGGAGCAGCGGGGAGACAGGGGAGGTCTGCTGCACCACGTGGGTCAGCTCCCTGACCAGGGATCGAACTCATGGTGCCATAGCTACAGATAGCTTCATAGTGCTACGTATTAACCTATTGTGCAATGAGGGAAGGCCCCATTTCTTTTGTTTCTTTACATTATTCATATATAAGTGAAATCATTGGATAGTTGTTTTTTTTCTGCTGAATTATTTCACTTAGATTTTTCCTTCTGGCTCCACCCATGTTGCAAAGGATAGGCGTTTGTCTTTTTTGTGGCTGAGTAGTATTCCACGCATACGTATATACATGCAACATCTTATTAATCTGCTATTCTGCCATTGGACATTTAGGTTCTTCCCATGACTTGTCTGTTGTAAACAGTGCTGCAGTGAGCAGAGGTGTGCACATATCCTTTTGAATTAGGGACTAGTTTTCTTTGGATAGCAACCTAGGAGTGGAACCGCTGGATCCCAGAGTAGATCTATTTTTAATAATTGAGGCCCCTCCATACTGTTTTCCATAGGGCAAGACCAATCTACATTTTCACCAACAGTGTACCAGGGCTCCTTTCCTCCATACCTTAGCCAATGCTTGTTGCTTTTGGTCTGCTTGAAATGGGCCATTCTCGTCAGAGTGAGGTGATTTGTGGTTTTGATTTGGAATTCCCCGATGACAAGCGATGTTGAACATTTTTTTAAAGATTTATTTATTTGTGCATACAGAACTGCGGTACAGGCCAGAGGTGTAGGGGCGGTGAGAGGCTTCACCAGAGACAGAGTGGGGAGCAGGACAGGCAGATGGACGAAGGACACTGCTGAGGGGAGCAGCTTGGAGACTGGAGAGGTCTGCCGTGCCCTGGGGGGTCACCTCCCGGGCGGGGATCGAACTAGAACTAGAACTCGAGCTGAAGGGAATGCAGCTCCCTAGCAGTGCTGCTCTTTAACCCGCTGCACCACCAGGGAGGGCCTGAACATTTTTTTTTTTCCATGTCTTTTGGTTCATCTGTTTGTCTTCCTCAGGAAGTAGCTATTTAGCTTTTCTACTCCTTTTTGATTGTTTTTGTTTGTTTTCTTTTTACTGAATTACATGAGTTCTTTGTAAGTCCTGAGTGTTAGCTCCTCTTCAGATATGTTATGTGTAAACATTTTCTCCTACACTGTAGGTGTTCTTTTATAGGGAAAAAAAATTATTTAAAATAACACAACTGAATTTCTTTAAGATAAATAAAAACAAAACTCCTCAAGATACATGCAGTGGGCTCTACAACTGATTTTTCTATTGTTCTCCAAACCGACTGCCCAGACATTTCTGGGCCAGAGACAGGATTAACATTTCTCCGCCTAGTAAACACACCCATCTGGCTCCCGCAAGGGCTTATTATTAGTGCCCCAACCGTTTCCTGTAATCACTTGAACCATCCAGGCTGCAACTTGGAAATTAAATTCAAGAAGTGATTTTTCCATCCTGGAAGCTGTTTCAATTACAGCTTCTTGCTGATGAATCTGGGATAAGCTGCAAGGGAGCAAGCCCGGCACTGAGGGAACCAGCCCACAGTGGAGACACCGCCCTGAGGCTGAGCGCGTCACCCCGGACAGAGCAACAAGCCGGCTCAGGCGCCTGTGCGCCAGGGCTGAGGGAGCTCAGAGGCTGTGGTGGGGGGCAAGGGGGAGCGGGGTCAATGGGGTGTCCGTGTGAAGAGGCTCCTTGGGGGGCTGCGCTTCCGTTGGGAAACCTGGGGGGTGGGGAGGAAGGGGGTGCCAGGAGGGGCAGGGGCGACGGGAAGGGAGGGGGGCGGGGTCAGCTGTGCATACCCACTCGCTTAGGGAACCAGAGTCAGTTGCTCCTGGTAGTGGCCCCCAACTGGCCTCCCCCCTTCCTGCAGTCCTGCTTCGGTTGAGCTCCTCTTATGATTCCAGCAGCTTCTGACCCTCTTCTTGTGGGAAAAAGGGCACCTGGCCAGAAGGGCTGCAGCCTCAGTTTTAATTCACCGTCATAACAGCTCGCTGAGACGGAGTATTTCTAGTGTTCCTCTAAGGTTTTAAATTATTATGAGTGTGTGTGTGTGTGTGTGTGTTTTATGACAGAAATAATGCACACTCAGGGTTTTGTTTGTTAGCTGTTTGAGCCCCCCCTCAAATAATACAGGACGCTGAAGTTAAATTACTTGACTTCTGACCTGTTTCCTCATCTGCACATGGTTGGCACTAGTCATCCCTTCCTCTCAGAGATGGGGGCATTTGAAAATGCCTGACAGGGAAGCCTGGCACCTGACAGGGTGGCAGTGATCATCCTTGCCACTGTATATCCAGAGATGACCTTGGGTCTCCTCAGGAAATATTCCATGCTCACAAGA